CTCTTCCTAAAGGCGAGGGCCAGACTGAGCTTGTGAGCAATATATACCTTATGCACACACTTACAGGGCACCTATATCTGCCCCTTTCTCCCCCTTACACACCCCCCCACACCAATCCCCCCCATCTATAAATACAACTTTCTTTGCCCTGTTTAGGTAAATCTTTGCAAGGTTGCACAGGCCCTTTGGAATAGCAGTCTGAAGAAACAGAAACATGCCCAGAGCTGAAAGGGACAAACGACTGTCAGTACCTCACCTGTGCCCAGAGAAAGGGAAGGTGGAACCGTGGCCCTGCAAACATGTTTCTGCCATGTTACTGACCTCTTTCTACGCATCTGGCCTCTCTCTGGCATCTAAGGCCTAATGATATTGATATTAACCTTTGACAGCAATGGAAGTTTTCTCTGAAACATAAAAGATCTTAAAGGACTGACTGTTTTTTTTACCATAAGAAGCCAAAGTGTATTACATGACTGTAAGGAAAAGATGAAGTTGTAGTAGATGGATCATTGCTGCCCACGCCAATATGAGATTTTCTGATAAATAGTTGTATTTTTAGCTACCTAGGATTTGCAAATTCCATTTTTGATTGCCATACCGAGAAGTTGCTTAACTTCTTTTTTTTTTTTCTTTAAATTGATCATAACTTTTCAAGACTTCTCTCTGTAGGGTTATATTAGGTTTTGCTTCATGAGCTCTTTTATCTTTTCCTTCCTAGGACAGGCTATCTTTTACTGGTTCCTAGGAAAGTGGCGGGGTCTGGGCAACAGTTCTGTAGACCTTTGATGGATGTCAAGAAAAATTAAAATACTTCTTGCTGTCACAGAAATGCTAGACTGGAATAGTGCACTTAACATTTAATATCTCTACCTCAAGAATATAAAGAAAATGAGGTGTGGGTGAAATAAAAACAGAGATTAATGAGAAAAGAGTTAATGTATTTATAAGTAAGTTTGTATGAGACACTTGTTTTCACTACAGGAGAAAAAAAGACATTTGAAGATTGGTGGTGCGATCCCCTAAGAATTTTCCTAAGAAGGTGAGATTCTTGCATAGCTGTCACTGCAGATGTGCATTATCTGACAATAAGTATTCAGGGACCAACATGCATCTCAGGATATGGAGCAACTGAAATACACATATAGATAATGAGGATGCTGAACAGGAAGCTTGCAAGGTTCAAATTCATATTATTTTTTCAAACAACAATCGAAAAAGTATTGGGGAAAATGTGTTAGCTCTTCTTGGCTTTCTTGCTGATCACACGTGAAGTGCAAACTACACTGACAGCTACCTTTCAAGAGTTTTCAAAGAACAAATGCAAAGCATAGACTACCAGTGACACATTAAATATATAATGAAAGGACAATGACAATAACAAGTGTGGTTGTGCTTCTCCTTTTGTTGCTTTTTTTTTTTGTTTGTTTGGGTATTTTTTAAGTTGCTTAATCAGAATTTAATTTGAAAACTGTCACTTAAAAGGCTACATCTTTAGGATAGACATAGAATCAGAAATTTCAACCTCCACAAAATATTTTTGAGAACTTTATAAATAACCCAGATAACAATTTCTACTGGAATGCTCCAATTGGCCTTGACTACAGTGTGACCACAAAAATATAGTACTGTTCAGAAAAACCTTTTGGAAGACCTATGCTTTTGCTGTAATTTTCAGGCACATTTTTCTTTTTATTGCTACTGCATTTAACAGTTTATCATGCATAATTTTCTCTACAGCTGGTATTTTCCAGTTCTGCTTTATTTCAAGCAAGAGAACTGAGTGAAAACAGTAGAAAACTTCAGAAAAATTAATTTGTATTTAACCTTGCACCATTTTTCTTCATTTTTTTCTCTCATCCTCTTGTAAGGAAGTCTGACACTTCAGTGTTTATCTTTTGCATATAAATGCCTAGCAAGCCAATATACAAGTTGAAAAGCCAAGTGAAAAGTGTTTAAAGTAAGAACTGGCTGACTGCTTTCTTTAAAACATACACTTTTAATCTATTGGTAAAAAAAAGTAGTACCACCTTAGGAAACACCATCTATGAAAAGGCTTTGGGTAAATGATTGTAAAACAATGTGACTTGTATGTGCAGAGACTAAATATGGAACAGCCTCTATTAACAGTCCATATGGAACGTGGGATATAAAATATTCTATAAATATTGCCCACAGCATAAAAGTTTATTAAACTAAAGTGGAAAGAGAAGAGGCAACACCCCCCCCAAAACCAACCAGGGGGTAAGCAAAAGATGATCAAAATAAAAAATAAAAGGGAATTAAATTATAAATTTTATAAATAATTACAATAATTAAAGTATGCTTCACGAGGGAGCAACCTGGTAAATAATTCACCAAAGGTGGCATATTGCAATACCTTAAAAAGACAAGTCTCACTGTATCTGTCACTTGGTTTTGCTGCTAATGAAAAACTACAGAAAGTTACTTTGACCATTAATGTTCTAGCCTGCTCTTCAACTTTAGCAGCAGAAAAACTTTCAAGAACATCAACTAAAGAGGAAAATTTTCTTGAAATAATTATTATTTTGGTGGCAACAGGCAGATTTCAGATTTCTGTCACCTACAGATCTGTCGATCTAGGCTGAGATTTTGAAAACCATCACATTGTACAGTCTTACACCTTTGGGAAACACTTATTCTTCCATCAATATTCTTCTCCTTTGACTTCTCATTATCAAGGTACCATCACATCACACAGAATCACACAATGGCAAGGGTCACAGCATCTTGTCTTTGACTAAGAAAAGTGGAAATGTAAAATAAAGAAAAAAAAAACCTTGAGGGACAACTTCAGGTACCAGGTTGAACTATGACTGAAGGCAAAATATTTTCCATGTAAAGGCTTTGATAAGACAGTTGTTTTACCAAAGAAGATTCTTCATTTTGGGGAAAATAATTTGTCTTACTTGGAAAATTGTTACTCTTGCTGCCCGTTTGGCCAAAATGTTTTAATTCCTAAAAGGCAATGAAGAGAATTTGACTTTGTCAGAACTGAAACAGTACTGTGCCAAACTTTTCTGAGAGGTGAGCACAAACCAAGACATCAAAGGTTTCCAAAGTCTAAACCCTGCCTCAGCTGAACAAACAAAATCTATAGAGAGGAAGATTTAAACTTGATGAGTAAAAATTAAAATTCAAAACAAAAATCTACCTGTGATTTTCAGGATGAATCATTTTCCGTCTTAATCTCAGTGACTTCCTGGACTGCAGTTACACAGTCCTGTCTGTCCCCCTGGGAAAGTCTGCTTTATCCCATCAGCTCCAAGTCTGTGTTTTGGTCTCTTTGCTGTTCTTCCTAGGGATCTCCCAGTTTTCTTTCCCACTTCAGGCCCTTTCTCATTGTCCTTTCCCTTCCCTGTCATATCCTGCACCCAGAGCCATTTTGTAGGTTATAGGTGTTCAGTTCCTTTCAGGCTACAAACACCCTTGTCCTAGAAGGGACCAGCTGGCAGCCACTTTTTTTTTCTCTGCTGCTTCAACACATCCTCTTAGCATATGCATGCATTGTACTGAAAAAGAATTAAATGATCGTATCGCAATCCCATTCTTCTCTTATGCTTTAGATGTATAAGAAAATAGGAAGAAGAGGTTTTGTGCTTATTTAGTTAATGTCTTTTAAAGAAAAATACTTTGCAGCCAGAACCCTCTGGAGGATTTTTGTTTGTTTCTTTTTAGAAATGTAGCCTAATATTTTGGAAATGAAAGGACATTTTTCTTAAATCCTGTCCTATAAAAAAAAAAAGATTAACATGTATTAGGTTGGCAGCTAAATCCCTGCATAGGAAACCAAAGATAGTATTTAATCGTCAACTCAATTCCAAAGAGATATACTTAATTACATAAAATTAAGTCAGACAGTCAGTAAAATGAAATAGATCCCTGGAGAGCTGCTGTAATGCACTAACATTTGTACTACACTCTTGCAATAGGAGCAGACTCCAGGTTTCTTAACTATGAGACTGCTTGTTCCAAAGTGTATCCACTTACACTAAACATATATAGTATACTTGACATTGATCATATAGGTGCTTAAGGAAAGTTTTCAATAACTTCTGAAACCAGTAATCTGATGTCCATGACAATTACATAGGGTGAGTACTCTTGAAAAAAAGGCCTGTTCCTGGCAATTTACCTAAAAAAGGACTGGTATAAATCGTTTAATGAACATAAAGCTTTAATCCTGTTAATGTTAAGGCTCAGAAGTAGCTTCATTGTCTTTATACCGAGGTCACTAAAGGTGCTAACAGATGTAGGATTATGAAGCAGTGTTTATGGTTTTCATGACTGTATGTTTAATTTGCCCTTATATGGCATTTATTACTTTTTAAACAACTGATTAATTCTTGGCATAAGTTTTATAAACATAGGGTGATCACAATGCAACATCTGCATGCACACGAAAGCAAACTTCATAGCTCTTCTGGACCAGCAATTATGGCTAATTTTTGCAAAACTACCATCTCATTTCTTTAAGCCATATATACAGCACGTGCTCACATCCATGGGCTGTGGTTTGCAAAATGGTTCAGTCCGAGTCTTTTCTTAATGCAGGGTCAATTGATTTTTTCCTTCTGTCTTCCTGCTTCCCTTCCTTATTCCCAACTTCATTGGACAAGTATTTACAATATGTCATATCTTGGTGCCTTGACTTGGTTTCACTAAATATGTTAATGGGTAATCTTTAATCAACTTTCAGGACTGAAACAAGTCTCCCATTCCTTGGATTCATAGTAACATAGTACTTATATGTTCTGCCAAATATGTTGTTCAGATAATGGAACCGAAAAACTTAAGCACGAATTGGTATTAATGTCCCATTCAAAATTTATGATGAACGGGGGGAGGGGGAGGAGGACTGAGAAAACTCCAAAAGGTGTTTAATAGGTTGTATGCTAATGAAGTGAGGCTGACTGGTTTCTGTGGGATGGCTCCCAATAACATTCTCTGAGAAAAGCCTTTGAATAAACAAACAAACGTACCTTTCTTGAAGAATAAGTTTGTTTTCCTTCTTCCAGAAGTCTTTGAAGTCAGAACTGAATTCATGCCAAATACTGAAGAAAGAATGTGGGGACACCTCTTTCTCTCCCATTTTTGGTTTCATACAGAAATAGGCTGCAGTTTCCAAAAAGCTGTCAAAGAAAGCAAAACCAGCAAATGTTTCAGTACCCACTGATGCAAATCTTTTTTTCTTTTCTCACTTACCACTGACATAATATTTAATTATTCTTGGTAGAAGATCTAAAATGAAAGAATATAAAAACCATAACAGTTCAGAGCTCTTTGCATACAGATAGATACACAAGATGGTTCTTCAGCAAAGTTAGGATCTGGCATTTATCATATGTTCTGGTTTTGACCAAAGTATTTTCCATTTCAAAAGCTAAAATGAATGCACTGTCCACAGCCCTGCAAATCCAGACGTCCACACCTGCCTATATACTGCTTTTCTGTTGTGTTTAAAGCTGTTTTCAAAACATTGAGTCAAAGCCTATAAAGGACTGTAAACAAAGTTCTTCAAGTTCTGTTAGGTCTATACTACGACACAATAGGGTAGATAGCTTAGGAGGAAGCCTACACAGAAGTGTTAAATCTTACACGTACTGTGTACTAAACAAGAAATGATGCAACAGAAAAGTGGGCCAGGAGCAACTGTGCTAGAAAACAGGCTACCAGCGTGATCTGACAACCCCTTCTGAGCACAGCAAAAGTAAAGTAGCATATTAAGCACAACGGCTACACCTCAAGTAAGAACCGTAAAGGTTGTATTTCCCACACTGAGTGAGGACTGCGACTGCAATTAAATTTAACAAATTCTTATTGTTTGCAGAATGGTTTGAAGACACGTTTCTCATAACAAGGCTTCATATTTGAACTTCTGATCTTTCCATGTTCTGTAAATCATTAATGGCCTTCATTCAAAGAGCTTCCTTAAAAATAAGCCATTGACTCAGCTGATGCCTTGAGATTTCTCTCTTGTCCTGCATTCCTCATGTTCCTTCAAAAATGTTGCCAGTTCATTCGGAAAAATCAAATGAGCCTTTTATATGACTTCCCCACTAGTCAGCTCTAGAGCTGTAAGTCTGGGGTGAAGGGGCTGGGAGGTAAACCAAAAGATTTCCCCAATAAGTTTGCAGTCTTGCAAAAAGTTTGAAATATGTTAAAGCAGGCAAAAAGTTTAAAATACAGTGCAGCTGACTGATGAAAGTCAGAGGTATTCTTTTTGAGTCATTCTGCGGGACCACAGGGTAGATGGTAAATATTTTCTGCAGTATAATACTGTGGGAAAAAATGTAAATAGGTGAGTAAAATGGAATATTTTTGTTTAATCAGAAGTACCACTCATGTATAAATCATTTGACAAAATCCACAACAAAAAACAGTCACAAAAAACCCCATTTATTAACCAAGCATTGACTTACAGAACAGAGTGCCATGGTAGGCTAATTGACAGCTGAAGAAATGGTACACTCAGGTAAGGTGGCATTTGAGTATCAACACAATGGCTTAAAAAGTGAGGATGTTTGTGTCTTTTATATTTTTCTGTGCTGCATCTTTGTTGCTCAACAGCTTCATTTTGCTACAGCAGATGGAAAAATGGATTACAAATTAAGAGAAAAAGTGTATAGAACTTGATTGATAAATTGATGTTAGATTTTTAAGCTGTGGGCTTTTTTATTCAGAAATAGGATAATTGATGTAGACAATTGTTTTTCATATTGGGGAAGTATACTGAAGTATTGAGTTTTGAGAACTAGGACAAAACAGTTTCACAGAGACTTTGTGAGATTGACCCTTCTGAATAGTTGAATCTTTGTATATTATTGTCACTATTATATACTTTAAAATATAACAACTATCAAATGGCCATCTTAAGCAATGCTTTTAAATTTGAGGTAATGAGATAGAATACCCTCACAGGAAAACATCCCAAGACACAGGAAGCCAAGACAAAATGAAATTCATACTGTACAGTGGAATGCTCAAAAAAAATTGATAAGCAGAACTAACACTTATCAGAGATGAAAAAGCTTCCATTATTCTTCAATTATTCCAACTATCCTCTGGGAGCAGAAGGAGGTAGCCAATGTTTTTTCCTCTGGTGACTGAAAGTCTCCCCGAGGACTGCTTGTATAACCAATGCAACCTTGCACATGCATACAGATGTATCCAACACCTATAACTTAATTTCTGGGTTTATAGAGAGAAGAGAAATGCTCAGCTAGGTTGCTTCCCTCCCTGGCAGTTACTTTGGGAGGTAAGGGAAATAAGCTGTTTGTGAAATGTGAAACAGCAGCAGCATAGCAGGTTGTCATTGTTAATACGTCACACCTTTCTAATGTCCAGTAACAATGCACAAGACATCAGCTGCAACGCAGTAAGACTTCCAGGCACAAATCTCCATGAATCAAATATTTTTTCTATATATGCAGATCAAACAGTCAAGACAGTTACTGTATTGTTTCCAACCAGAGAGTTCTACCCTTATTTAGCAGTTAAGTCCCTTAGAGTATATTTAGAAGACATATGGAAACCTGCTTGCTATGCATTTGATGCTGTCATTTTTGTAGTATAAGATGAAGTGGCATAATTCACACATGAAAGACACAGCAAATAAAATGAATCCAAATGCATCAAATAATAATACATGCACAATAAATCCTCTATATTACCACACTCTTTAAATATCTGATTTGGAAATATTTATGTATGTCAACCTAGACATATCTCAAAGCTGATTCCAGGGGGACACACACATTTTAAATACAAAGAAAAGTTTGGATGACATTGCCATAACCCCAAGACTAAATATCATCCTTTCAGACTGCAGCCAGGCAGCAAATACCTTTGCTCTAGTGGTTTTCAGTGGGGCAACCCATTCAAGTTTTCCTGTTGATCCTTCAGCAGATTTTGAAACAAAACATCTGCAAATACCATTGATACTGTTCCTGACTACATGTGCAGGCACACAGACATTTTAATCAAATAAGGGACTAGAGTTCAGTTCCTATACTCCAATTCATTTCTGCATCATACAAGCTTGGAAACTCATCTGACCACTCTGGATTTCATTTCACCTATCTGCGAAATGAAACGTTTATCATCAAACAGGTATTGTGAAGCCTGTTTAGTGTCCATTTCTCAATTGAAAAGGTTCTTACTTTTCCATACTCTTAGTGAGTGTCTTAAAAGAAAAGAATGTGCATTAGAGAAGACATAGCAGTCATGGAAGAGGGAAGGAAGGGCATGCGAGTTATTTTCAGGGATTAAAAGAGGTAAAGGAGGTGACTGGCTTTGCTTCAAAGAGACTGACTTTTCAAGCATGATTAAAAATAAGGCAGTGACGTTCAAACCACTGTCTTGTCCTGACATGGCAAAAGCCAGAATTCTTTAAACAGATTTCAGCCTGGGTTTCATATCCCTCATGCTGGCCCTGAAGGGGAATTAATAACATTAACTCTCTCAAAATAATGGAAGAGTTGCTCATCCCTGACAAGTAAGAAAGGAAATAAGTTCAAGAAAGATAGTTCCTTTTCTCATTTTCTAATTTCCTTGGTTCAAGGTTTGTGTAATTCAGAAAAATCACTACAGACTGAGATGACTGAACTCACTGCTTATTCAAATGTGGAAATTTGATGAATGAATCACTGGACTTTTCTGTGTGCTCCCTTGTGTATGACTGTGGGAATATGTAAATGAATTTTCTATTTGGAGGGAGGGAAGGAATGGATGCTCTAACAGCCAACCCAAATTTAATCATATGAGAAAGAAAAGAAACCATGCACATCGCAAATTGACAGCATTTCTGGCTAATAGATCTGATCCATTAGGAATATGTTAAGAGCAGCTATAGATTATTCAATTTTTTTCCATTCCATTCTGAAGCCAGTCAGCAGTTGCAGAGAACGATTCAGATTCAAGTCCACTGTGTGCAGTGATTTGGCCAGTTTATAAATACATACAACATATGTTTTTACACATGCATGTATGTATGTGAATGTATGCAGTAGGTCAAGCAAAAGGAGACAGAGAGCAGCTGAGCAACTACAAAATATTTCGTTTTCTAAAAAAAGGAAAAAAAAAGCAATAAGGAGACAGAACAACAATACTAAGAAATGGACATCAGCAGCTTCATCTCAGCATCATTTGTTCAGGCTTCTGTGGCCAAATAGCAAAGTAGCCATAGGTACAGACATGCCCTGGCTGACCTTTCTGAGAAATGGTGAACACACATGCATCTGGTTTCCCTATACAGCAAATGAAATCACCTGCAAGAGTAAAGATTTGTTTCGATGTGGATTTAAAAGCAGAACAAATGCTTCTATAATTCTGCAAGAGAGATTCTGTACTGCTTAACAGATTATGTATTTTGGTTCGAACCTGGATATTCTTGACTACTTGGGTTTGGCTTTACAAATTGTTAAGCATCATTTATGTACATTCAGGATTAAGAACAGGTAGTCTTAGCTGTGGTACTGTTAGTTTTATGAAGCTGTTGTGTTTTAGAAGCAGTTGTGAGTCAGATAGGAGCTGCTGAGGTACATTTTAGTTTGATTAAAGTCACAAGTAAAATTTAGAACTAAGCATAGTCTACCAAAAGAAAGAAGGTAAAAAGGGAAGAAAAGATTATATGTGCCTCTCACTACTTCAAATCTGACATGGGTTCTATTTAAAACCAAACTGAGTTGGCAGGCATGCCAGACAGGCATGTTCAATGTTAATCCTGAATTGATGACTACATAGGGAAGATGTGTACAGTATATAGTTAGCAGTACTTGCTTCCTGGAAAAGGTAATCATATGAATTGTCATAGTCTTGTTTTGTTTTATAAAGAGGAAAAGGCGTTGTATGTATTTTCTTTGTTTTTAACATCTTAAAGCATTAATAAGAGTTAGTCTTAAAACAGAATACCAAGCACTTCAACAAAGTCACACAAAATTGTATAAAATTAAACAGAACCAGCATCCTGGTTACTGAGATAGCATGAAGCTGTGAGGAAACAATGTATGCAGCACCTTAAGAAGCCTCTCATTTTCTATTGACATATTTTGTTGAGGGTCCTCTTGTGCTATAACTTTCCATTACGTTCTTCACCCTTCTCTTTTTTTTTTTAAGTATCATTGCCTCTCCT